CATTCCATCTATTCTTACTGCTGCTAATTTTTTTAACAATCTATTTCTGTGTATTGTCTCGAAAGCGCTCTGGAGAGTTGGTATCGATTGGGACGATACATTTCCAAGTGAACTTCAGAAAAATTGGATTTTGTGGACCAGAGACTTGGAGAAAGTAGCACAAATAATAATTCCACTATGCTATCCGCTCTCTCGATGAACATTGAGTTACATTTATTTGCTGACGCTAGTGAATAAACTTTTGCTGTATTGGCTTACCTTCGAATACTCACAGAAAGCCAAATTGATGTATCTTTAGTAGCAGAAAAGACCATAGTTGCTCCTTCGAAGCCGTTATCAATTCCCATAATAGAGTTACAGGCTGCAGTCAAGACTAGTAGGCTCGCTTGTTGCATAAGAGAACATCTAGATGTTGATATCCAAGGTATTCACTTTTGGACTGACTCTAAATGTGCTCTGGATTGTATGAAGGCAGATAGAAAGAAATACAAGCTGTTTAGGCACACCGTATCAGGGAGATACAAGAATCAACGAATTCATGTGAATGGTGTTGGGTTCCATCACACGAAAATATTCCCGACGAAGCACGCAAGATCGACTTCCAATGAGCCATATGAATGTTTATTCGTCAAGTGGATTCATGATCCCGAATTCTTGAGTAAGCCTGGAGAATATTGGCCAATTCAGAAGAACAGACAGAAGATCACGATGATGCAACTGATACAGAAATGAAAGCAGAAGCCGAAATTATTGCTGTACTCCTTTATAAAGAATATACTTTCCTTACTGAAATCAATAGATTTTTCGAATTACTTCGTCTGGAAAAATGGGGAAACAGGAATTGAATTTCGAGAAATGGATTTCTCTAATTGAAACCAACTAGGCTGAACTATACTGGATCAGATATTCTCAGTGGCAAAGTTTTCATGGAGACATAATATCATCACGAAATAATGAACCATTGACAGAAAAAAGTCGCCTGAAGCAATTGAATGCTTCCCAAGATAAAAATGGACTCCTGATTCTGCAAGGAAGAACAGATTTGGCGAACTTTATGAGTGTCGGGACTAAGAAACATTGTATACTGAGCCCAAACAGACAAATGAATCATACAGAAAATACACTAAGGCAGGTATAGTCAACCTAAGGAACAATTTGATGGAGGTGGACTGGTCTATCTCTGATGAGGAAGAGCAATCAGTGGATTGCATTGCCACTCACATGTTCACCACATATGGAACTCTTGTGAAACAAGCATTTCCTTCTCATACGACGGTCAATAAAAGCCAACCTGGCTCCAAAATTGAGTGGTTCAATGATAACCTCAAAAAACAGAGAGATAATCTGGAAAAATACCAACATGTAGGAAAAGTAAGTAGTAATTCTATGTATCTTGGAATCTATAAAATTTTGAAGCGGAATTATAGATTAGAAATTAAAAAAGCATAAAAACAGGCCCATGATGACTACCTAATAAAATCTGAAAATATCTTCAAAGCATCTTGGGAAATCATAAACCAAGAGCGCAATAAAATGAAAAAAACAAGTATCAAGATTTCTGACATATCCCCAGACCACTTTAATCAGTTTTTTGTATGTAGCAGAAAACATCATCAAAACACTACCAACCTTGGATGTGAACCAATTAAACAATTCTAAAAACTTTCCAGCACCATGTGACTCATTCTTCCTGAAGCCTGTGGACGAAGCAAAGGTATATGCAGTAATCCATTTTTTGAAAAATTCCATGTCAACTGATTGCCATAGCCTGCATAGTGGTATTATTAAAGAATCCTCAGATATTTCAGTGGGACCAATGACCTCCTTAATAAATCTCATGTTCTCCACTGGCCAATTTCCAAATGTACTTAAACTATCAAAAGTTATTCCTATCTTCAAAAGAAAAGGAGATATCTCTGCACCAGACAATTATAGACCAATCAGTATAGTTTCAATATTTTCCAAAATAATTGAGAAATTACTGAAGGCCAGACTGTTGAAATATTTTGAAGCTAAGTTTTACTTGAAAGAAAATCAATTTGGTTTCCGTCCGAAGAGAAGCATGATACAGGCAATGCAGAAATTAGTGAGCAACATAGTCGAGGGCCTGGAAAGTGGTTATCACACATTTGTCACTTAATGTGATCTCACCAAGTCTAGAGATTCAAAGAATGGCATACTTTTCTCTTTTTCACACAGTCATCCCCTATGGCACTATCCTATGGGGGGGCTCCACTGATTCCATAAGAGTTTTTAGGCTCCAAAAAAAGGCAATAAGACTTTTATCCAAAGTTGGTCCCCGTGAACACTGTCGTCCTCTCTTCACAAAATTGGACATTATGCCACTCCCGGCAATCTACATATTCATCACATTGATTCATAGTCAGAAAGATTCTCTCTGTCTGCAGTCAGATATCCACCACTATAACACCCGTAATGCATCAATGGTCAGACCTCAAAGGTTTAGACTTGATGTCAGCAAGAAAAACTCTCTCAATTATAATCTTCCCCTTACAGTAAGGTGCATGGCGATCGGTCAATTTAAGACTTTCATCAAAGAGTTCCTAACAAAAAATTGTTTTTATAATATTGAAGAATATATATTTGCCAGTGAAGTGCTAGGGTGACAACCTTTTTGTATTGTTTTGTATTATACTGTCTATGTAAATACTTGTCTCTGTGTGTTCAATTTCATAGTAAAGTTTTCAAAATCTTGTTTTCAAACTATAACGAATCTTGGTCCTTGAAATTTTTAATCTGTATAATATTGTATTACTGCTCATTCAATATTCTAAAATTCTACCTATATCATGACTTGTCACATACATCTCAAATGGTAACGTGATCAAATAAATCTACTTTACTTTACTCTACTCATGAAATGAATATACGAAACTCCTTTGCCAGCACTATCACGTGAAATTTCGACAACTGGTAGTAGAAACAATAATTCTCAACGAGAAACGACAGAAATTACTGTCTGAAATGTAGAAATTTTAAAGTGACCTGTACCTAGGATCAGGCAACTGACTGCTGTACGTTTGACCCCAGAGATTCGAACGTTCGTAAACGTAGGACCGGATCATTTCGGTCCATTGAAGGTCACGATCAGAAGACGAACAGAAAAAAAGACGTGGAGTCTAATTCACATGCATGGCAGTAAAAGCAATCCATCTAGAAGTTGCTCATAGTCTAACAAATGATGCAGCCGTCATGACGATAGGACGTATGATGGCGAGAAGAGGGAAAACCAGCAACCATATATTGCGACAATGGTACCGAGTTCAGCGGGCTGCTGAGGAACTTAAAAGGGCCCTGTTGAATTCGGATCGTTATTCCATTACTGATACTATGGTCTCGGAGGGTATCAACTTCAAATTTATACCAGCTGCTTCGCCACATATGGGTGGTTCTTCGGAGAGGCTCATTGGGTTGGTGAAAAGAACCATCGGAGTCACCTTGTCCAACCCATCTCTGAGGCCGAAGCAGAAATAATCGTGAACTGTCGGCCTCTTACGCATGTTTCTGTACACCCGCATGATCCAGAAGCATTAATGTCAAATAATTTTTTAATTGGATCTAGAAACCGGAATGGACCACCCTGAAATTCAGAAGGATGGCTCAAAGAGAAGGATGCAAAAACTGACCTAGAGACCCAAGTGGATTGATGACAACAAGAGCATAGAAATTGGAGACTTCGTATTGATCGTACATGAGACTGCTCCAAGAAACACCTGGAAAATCGGTCTAGAAGTCTAAGTTTTTCCAGTACCAGGCGGCCAAATTCGAGATTGGCAGTGTGATGTCGCCTATTTACTGATGGTGAAGAAAACGAAGGTTCCTCACGGGGGGGGGGGCGGAGAAATGCGATGTCTTCATCAGAATAATTATATCCATAATGACCCTGTATATATTGACCCTGTATATTGAAACGAAAAAAGAGGTAGTTCGTTACATAAATGTAAGAGATAAAGAAGAAACAGTTTTTCTGAAACTTTGTATAAAAGCTGATATTTTGAAAACGAAATTGATTGATAAAAAACAAGACTTAAAAAGGTGTAATGAATGTAGTCATGAGTAGACTTTCTAAACGTACTTGAATTTGCATACGCCGCCCTCGTGTAGGAAGTCCCGGACTTATTAACTGAACTTGTGATAAAGAGGAGGTATTGTTGAAAAGTTTTTAACGTATGCTTTTTCGCAGACTTATTTCTAGTGTTACTTGTGTCACGATAAACTAATTTGCATGCAATGGTGGCGGGCACAGGCACTGTGGTGATTTTTTTAACATATTGCACTTTTATTGTGATTACAAAAATAGTGCATGTTTCTAAAATTACCACAGCGTATGTGCATACCATGATTGAATGCAAAGTAGTTTATCGTTATACATGTATAACAACAAAAATAAGACTGCGGAAAAGCATACCTTGAATAATTGTTCAACAATACCCCGTCTATCACATGTTCAGTTGATAATTTCAGGACTTCTCCTACACGAGGGCGGCGTATGAAAATTCTTTCCGAGGTATCATTTTTTTCAAAATATCAAAAATAACCATTTTGCATGCATTCCCTAATCTTTCGAAATCATCAACTTCCAATGCAAATTCAAATTTGATTGGTGACACATAAAAATCATGACTTGAAAGATGCATACAATAAAAAAAACGTTGCACAGAAGCTGTCATTAATAGCCAGTCTACATGGTCTGATGTGGTCTGAAAGTGTATTTTTTTAAACCTCATCGTTCTGAGCTCTCATTATTTCAGCAATTTGATGTTCGATAGTCATATTATTCAATAATATAATCCTGGCAATTCTTCATTCTTTCAACTACTGAAGGGGGAACCAATACTCAATGATTTTCCGTATTTTGACATGAATCAGGTTGTCCATTGTGTTGACTACTGTTGCCGTCGGATATATGTCACCATATAATTAACAACAATACAATAGCAATTATTCCAAGTTCTATTGATGTACTTCTCGTATTCCAGCAATGCTTTGCTACAGAAGCCTACGTAACGTACAGAAGAAAACATTGAAAATAATCCACGCCACACTCCACTTTTTGGCATTTGGTATGTCGGTAATTGGATTGAAAGCTGTGTTCGATTCCCACAATTTGAAGAATACTCCAAATCTGTACAGTCTCCACTCATGGATTGGTTTGGTTACTGTAATTATATTTGCCGCACAAGTAAGTTAAAAATATTGTAGATATTTCAGTTCATGTCTCCTACATAATTGATGTGGATAATGTTTCATCTTGAACTCCCTTAGTCCATGAATATGTTGGAACGGTGATGAAATTTATAAGAGCTTAGAATTACCCTACCTCGATGCATTCAAGTTCTGATACTAGTATTGGTCGACTTTTTCATTTCTATAGATTCTCGAGATTGTCAGCGAAATGTTACACGATTTCGTTTTCATATCTGCAATTGGAAAGGTCTTGAGTATCATCTAACTAAGTTACCTAACATACAGGGTGTTTCAAAATCCACCCACTGGGCAAAAAATCATGCCAGTTTCATCACATTCTTGTAACCTTGATTACGTTAACGTTATGATAAAGGGCACAATGAACTATCCAGTTCCTCCCAGTAACGTTCAATGTCCTTCAACATAACGAAAACCTTTCTACGTTACACAAAGTTCATCATATTTTTTTTTATTGTCTTTATTACCCCAAGAAACATAATTGTTTATAATAGGGATATATAAAACAAAACATACATATAACATAATAAATCGAAACAATAATAATTGCACAATTATTGTTTTTCATAAAAAAAATTATAATAAAATATAAAATGAAAATATTATAATCCATTACAAGTAATCAAATTGTGAATGATTAGTACTATTAGTAGATATGAAATTAAAGTTTACTGAGCAGCTATTTCTTTAATTTCATTTTAAATTTTTCTGCTGTTTCTATATTTTCCAACCCATTAGGTAAGGAGTTATACAAAATTATTCCATTATGGAATATTGATTGTATACCAAAATGTGACTTATAATTATTTGCTATCAATAAATTGAATTGCATTGTTTCATGGGCGTGAATCGTATTAACTTCATTAAAATTCATATTCGATATTTTCAATTCCTTCCTGACAAAATGAATAAAACAACAAATTTTGAGTTTATATAATGAAACTAGATTCAGCAAGTCTTTAGGTTTGTATAGATTCGCAGTTGATTCTAAAAAAGGTAAATTGAAAATGCACTTTATTGTTTCATTTTGTAATTTCATGAGTGGCTTCAAACGTGAAATATTTGTACTTCCCCAAATAGATATTAGATATTGTAAAAAAGACAGAAATAAATACTCTTTAGGTATTTGACAGGAATGAAATAGGATTCAATTTTTTGCTCAATTGATCTATATGTAGAGTCCACGATAGTTGTTCATCTATATAAAGACCTAAAAATTTTGTTACATTTGTATATTCAATGGATTTGTTATTGAAACATATTGGGGTATTATTCAATATATCCGTTGTTCTTTTTGAGATGTACATATACGTAGATTTACTATAATTAAGAGTCAACTTATTGGTCGTTAGCCAAGATGATATTTGTTTCAAATCATTTTTAATATTGAGGTAACCATTAACGTAACTATTATTTCAACTGAACGAAGGCATTTTAACGTTCCTTTGTTGACGTTATTGATTCAAAACTTTCACAACTTTCATAATGAAACTGTTACCACTATTCTTACGTTATTGTTCCATGTCTTTGTAGTCATATCTGCTACTTTTACTTCAACTTCAGCAATCAGTTTCAATTATCAAAATAGGAATAAAACAGTTTTGTACTATTTTATCCTTCCTTTGATGAGTGAAACTAATTGCTGGAATTTGAAACAGTATTAGGAAACACCCTGTGAAGCATAAATATCAAATCCTTGGGTATAATAAAGTATTGCCAACATATATCATTTCTTCATATAAAAATATTCTATCATATTAAATTATACTATATTTATTTCAGGTAGGTTTATGAATCTTACCTATTCTATTCATCTTCATATTATTCACTTGATCAAATTAATTCCCTTATTTGGTATTTTTTCTGGATTTGTTTTCCTCCATCGCTTCTCATGATTAGAATTTTCAAATCAAAGGCAGCACTCAATATTTCTTGGCTTCTAGTATCTGAAATCAAATGTCATTAGCTTCTCAGAAAGTAACTTTAAATTACTTATTTCACCTTTAGTGATTGGGTATTTAGTTGTTAGAGGCAGATCATCATCAGTGTCTTATCAAACGCGTAAAACTTCATGACTTCCATTAACTTATTTCATTCATATATTGGTCTGGATAGTCACCTACCTACTTTTCAATGCATATGGCCCTCTTCTCCAACGTATTCCTAAAACTCGAGAAAACAAATTCAAGTATCATTTCTTCTCATAGATTTTCAAGTTTTTTGTTTCTTTTTTGTGTATTTTTCATAAGAACTCAATAATAGATAGGTACCTATACCTATAGTTCATTTGAATATCTGATGTTCTCTCTCCGAACAAATATGTTTATTATACAACCGCACAACTTCCTTCTAAACAATAACATAATATAGATAACACAGACATTATGGACATTCAAGGGGCAAACAAGGATAGGAATCTGAAAAATCAATGAAGATCAATAATCATGATTTATATCAGTCCTCATCACAAAATCATCTACCTATATTAAATCAATTTGAGTTTGAGTAGATGATTATCAAGGTTTCTTCCCCAGTTTTTTTCAATCAGTGTTCACATGTCCTACTCTGGTTCCAAGTTATTTTTTCATATGCCTGTTGAGTACCTACTGCTGAATGTATTATATCGCCAACAGTCGTTACTACATGAAACATTTATCATACCAATGATGGAAATGCATTATCCACCAATAGTCTAACTAGAAAGGTTTAATTTTATCTGTTTGGAAACAACGCGCTATTTTTTTTTTTTCGTATTCCCAATTTATTGTTTTATAGACGCAGGGTATAACATGAAGTTATAGTCATGTTGTAGCCATCTAGTGGCAAAGCTCTAAGGTAGGATACAGAAATCGCGACACACACTGTATGGCGCTGCCATCTATAGTCACACGTACAGACCCCTACGTCTATACCCTACAGAGTGGGACTACAAGTAAACCACTCTGCTGGCAGATGGCACTACCTGACATACTTGAGTGGAATTTTTCCACCACCTATTCAACTGCTAGATCTCATGACTAAGAGATCCAGGATGAACAGAGTTGTCCCAGGAGCGAGACAGTACTGTTTCGACCCACCAGGTCTCATCAGCCGCTCTTGTTTTATAACTTCAAATCAAATCAAAATTTGCTTTATTGTCGAAAGAAAGGTGATTCTCATTGACAAAGCTTATAGGTTAAATAAGCATGATTAAAGATTTAGGATAACAAATACATAAACATTAGAGTATAAGTCAAGAAAAACAATATTTGGAGCAGTGAGCTCTATCACAATATAGTTGGAAAACAAAAATATATAACTTATAACAAAATAGTGCGTCAATGAATAACTAACTAAAGCACAACAGAAATACAGAAATAAAATAAATGAAGATATAAAATAATATATAGGGTGATCCAAAATTCGATGTAAATATTTTAAGGACGTATTGTTGGAATCATGATAAAACTTTTTCTTCAGATAAAATGTGTCCTAAAATGCACCCCATTTCGGCCATTGAAAGTGAGGACCCACCTCCAACACCTCCCCCCCTCCCCCAAAACTTGATCTACATAATTTTTGAAGAAAGAATGGAATATAGTGTCTAAAAGGACAGGGGCCTGCCAATTTTCAGAAGATTTTAGAATATATTTTTTCTTTACCTCACTTACAGTGGCTGTAGCTTGGAGAAGGTTTATTTTAGGACACATCTTTATATAAAGAAAAAGTCTTATTTTGATCCCAAAAATATGTCCATAAAATATTCACATCGAATTTTGAATCACCCTGTTTATATATACATATATAAATTGAATAAATCTAGACTCCAATCTAGATATGAAATGAAATATACTGTCAGGAATCTTGATAAAATTCGGACAAACTATAATAAGCCTTCACAGTTAAAATTTTTCTGACTCGTTTTCTGAACTTAAATTCATTGTCAATTTCCCGCATATATGCAGATAATCATTTCCTTGCTCTCATAAATGAGAGAGTTCTTAGTCAAAACCGATGTGGGAATGGGAAGTTTGATACAATTTGAAAAGCTGCTGGTTCTATGTGTAGGTGTAACAAATCTAAAATCTTTATATTTCTTTTGGACTAAGCACACAGTTTCTGAAAGGAAGATGTAAGCCTATGTCAATATTCCATGGACTAGAAAAAATGATCTGCATAAATTCCTCACCCCAGCTTTGCACATATACCTCAATGTTCTCTTTTGTAAAACAAAAATTGATTTGAATAAATGGTCAGTACATGTCGCCCAGAAACAAATGCCGTAACGCAAATGTGATAGTAAACATTTTTGGCCGCATTTAATCCCAATTCATTTGAAGTAACCTTCACAGCATCGCAGCCAGATGCTAGCTTTTCACTTAGAAGTAGTATGTGCCTTTCACATTTTAATTTGGCGTGAATGTTCAACACAAAAACCTTGTTAGTCTCTCTATTACTGAGGCATTCATTTTCGAGGAAGACATTATCGATATCACACCTGAAATTAATCATCCCTGTCTTGTTGATATTGGAAGATAATAAATTGATGTCACACCATAATTTAACTTTCATCAAGTCCTCGTTGATAATATTTTCCAATACTGAGCAATTCTTTGTATGCCAAAGAATAGTCGTATCGTCAGCAAATACGGTAAATTGTCCCTGAATATCGATTTGCATCAAGTCATTCACATTTAATAAAAATAACGAGGGACCATGTACAGAGCCTTGCGAAACTCCATGATTCACAGCTAATTGCTTTGAGGCTTCGTTGTGAAGAATGACACATTGGGAACGGTCAGTTAAGTACGATTGAAACCAAAGCAAAGGTACACCTCTAAAATCATATGTATGAAGTTTACCCAGCAGTATTCTATGATTCACACAGTCGAAGGCCTTCGATAAATCAACATAATACTGCTGCAGCTACTTCACCATCATTCAACCTGAGGTACAGCTTTTCGAGAGATGCAAAAACTGCATTATTCCTATTCTTAGAGGCTTGAAAGCCATACCTATGTTTGCTTATAAAAGCCACCATTCTTTTCTTGACTAATCTCTCTATAACTTTCGATAATGCCGGTAGCAAAGCAATCGGTCTGAAGTTAGAAGGGGAATTGAGTTCACCTCCTTTAAATAATGGGATGATATTAGCAATTTTCAAGCAGGTAGGAAACACACGAACCGAAAAAAAAATGGTTAACTGACAGTATTTGTAGCATCTCATACGGTAATTTGAGTAATATATTACCTGATATGTCATCCCACCCAGATGTACTCTCATTTTTAATTTCTATTATCTCAGTGGCATCTGTGGGAGCAAAAAAAAACTCAAGCATTGAAATATGGCTTAAATACAAGTTGGGCTCAAACGAGGGTGATAACTTTTCAACTTGTTTGTCCGCTATGGAACAGTAGAATTCGTTCATTGTATCGGGATTCACATTCGTTTTAGGAGAACTAGTATTATTATTATTTATCCCTCTTAAATCATTGATGATTTTCCAGCATTCTCTCTGCTTGTTGGACGAGCAATTAATTCTATAAATATAATATAGAGATTTAGCCGTCTTGATTAATTTTCTATAGATGTTTCTGTGTTTATTGTAATAGTCAATGAATGAGGTGCTATTCATTGAAAATTTCCGTATATTGTGAAGTGAGCGCAGATTCCTGTCGGAAAAAAAAATAATCCAGTTAGTACTCTATGGAATGCATCATTCATCATTCCTGTTCAATATATCACGCCCATCAACAAGTTCAAAAAGTTGTGAAAACTTATTATAATTCTGTTCCGAAAATACTCTACTCCATCTTTTAAAGTCATCTTTGGGCACCTTGGTTTTGAATGGAAATTTACAAACAACTGCTTCATGATCAGACAAGCCAGCATTCAATACAGACAGTGGTGAATCCAGGAAGTTTATATTGAAGTCACCACAAAGAATAACAGATGCATTTAGTGGAAAATTGAATAAGAGCATTCCAAGCTTATGTAAAAATATTGTAGTATTTGAAGATGGGGATCTATAAATGCATATAATAAATGTATCAGTGGATTGACAGAAGACAATGGAAAATGAATTATTTTTCCACCAACATATAGTCAAACTTATCATAATTTGAAAAACAATTCACATTCAAAAACGGTTCTTTAATCAAAATCAAAGTGCCACCTCCACGAGCTTGTGAACGAAAAGTTTTTGAAACCAAAATATAATTATTCGAGAACAGTAGTTCGTCACTACATAACCAGTGTTCAGTTGAATGTATTATATCTTGATATTCAACATTAGTCACAAATATTTGCAGATCATCAATCTTGTGTCGCACTGATTAAATATTCAACAATAAAACAGTTAAGGATCTGGAATTATAATCACTACCTCAATATCTAATTTTTGATCAAGTTACATTTATTGTCTCGCTAGCGTGTAAATTATCATTATGAACAGTAATACAATTATCTATTATATTGCTCGTCACCCAATTTTATCATATCGTGAGCATTGACAAGACTTTACTCTGCCTTTCCTAACCGAAAAAACTCAGGATTCGTATCATTGTCCACCGTCTGTATCGTTTTCAGAACAATGCTCTTGTGAAAGGGTAGCAGACTTTTTTCAATTTAAAAGATGTGTTTCTATTAGATTTTGTGAACCGTGTCAAAGCTTTCCAGATCATGTTGACTATGATCTGATCTGATGCATTATTCTTCTGCGCTATCAAAACAGTGTTAGTAATTTTACTGCCGATATGTAAAATGATCTTCAGAGCCAGTTTCAGATTTCTAGCATTACTTACTTACATACATTATTGGTTCCAACATTATCATCAGAAAGTCATTTTGATTGTAATGTATTGTATCATGAAAAATATCTGACACCATATCATATCATTCCACATTTGGCATGATCTATTCATCAATGATGTATTCATTAGATCCGTTCAAAATTTTATTCAGCACCTTCGAAAAGTTCCCAGCATACTGATCTCCTCTCACAATTTTATTCTTCGACGAGTTGGATTCTCCAGCCCTCCCGTCATCAGTAAGTAAAGGAATAAATTAATTTACCTTCAGGTCAACTGAAAACGACAAGCTTTGTTGTTTTCACAAATTCTTTAACCAGCACGCCGTTCTGAGTCAATAATTTCACTCCGATACTGTTTTGTTTCGTTACTGTTGTTTTGTATTCTATTAAGATTTTTTTTCTACTCATAACTAAAATGGAATTCAGCGTACGGATATGTACCACGCTAAATGATCGTTTAATTACGGATTGACGATCTGTGATTTATTCAAAATATTACGTTACCATGGCAACACGATTTCTTAAACACATTACCATGGCAACACAGTTCATTAAACACAGCTTCAGTAATTTGAGACATGTCTGGCCTGTCAATTGTATCAACTGTCAACTGTCATTTTCGAATTTTGTATCAGAATTATTCAAACAATTTTCGATTGTATCAGAATTCTTCATTAAAAATATATGCGAAATGTAGACGAAAGGGAAATCGAAGAGAATGTTTTGGTACTTGCATATCTCCAAGAAGTCTAAAAATGAAGCATCCATCTTTGAGAACAATTTATTTATTCTGCGCTAAGCATGACAATAAACGTGAAACAAAGGTTAGTAAGCAATGGACTGGACACATCTACAACCACTATCACTTATATGTGTCTCGCTGGTTGCATGCAGTGTATGCATGTATTGTGTTCTCAATTCTCATTCCTTTCGAATTATTTTGTAGGTTAGCAGGAATAGCAGCTATATGTTAATGTAATTTTCGGAGTTCGTAGAAAAAGCATAGTATGTAACGCGTTTATAAACTCTTCTAGACACTCGTTTATTAAACACTCGCTCCGCTCTGCTCCGCTCGTGCTCAAAATACTCGTTACTAATAGGACGTTTATAACACTTGTTACATAATATACTATTGTGTACTCTCCGTTCGCCACAAATAAATATAGACATCAGTAATGAAAAGTATAAAGTTTTATTCAAAGCTTTCAACAATCAACTATGAGAGAAGGGTGGTTATTTTATCTCAATTTTATAATATTAGTTGAAGGTGCCAATCATTATTTCGTACGACGGCTCGTCCCTAGGCCCTGACCGTTACCATCGAGACATCGATGGTAACGCCTAGACACACTGCATTACTGATCTAAGTGGCCATGACTACGTTCCGCCCTTAAAACATCACCTGGGTCCAAGAAGATTACCTGGATCCACCACTTGTATAAAAGAAGAAACGCTATGACCGTTGTTTGATAAACCGTTTATTTACCAGTACGTAGTTATTCACGTTTTCTGTGCGGCTTTATTCAAATAGTTCACAATCTGATCTTAATTATTGTTAATTTAGTACATGACTGTTTCGCACGCTATTTGAAAAATAATTCCAAATCATCACGTGATGCTAGTCTCGGAATTTCTTAATCCTACACACATTCATTGCATTGTTACTCTCCTGATCTGATCTCCATTCATGATGTTAATGTTAGAGATTCTTTTTGACAACTCAGTTTCAAATATTTTTATATTATCGGCTTCCCTCAAAGCCACTGGTAGACAATTAAAAGTTTTTGAGAGGGTTCACTTCAATTCGTGAATTATACTTCTGTTCAGATTTGCAAACTTTGTATATAAATTTACTCTGTCCAGTTTTCAATATTTCTGAGATTGGTAAGATGCCAGTTTGCTTATAAACCTGTTCTGAATTCGATATTGAATAAAACTTTTACAATTACATTTTGTAGTTTTTCGGCTTTCTCAAATAGTGTACGTCCACAATCACCCCATGAGGAAATTGAGTATCTGAAAATAGATAAAAAATATGCATTATAGATTTGAGTATATAGTTTGTGATCAAGATATTCTCTACATCGATATATCGCTCCGATCATCGGTACTTTTATGATTTGCAAAAATGTACCCCTTTTTTATTTGGGTACCTACTATAATAACGCACGGTACAGTCCTGAATTTTCATTTCAGGAAAACTGATCATCTATCGAAAAAAATAGAATAATGAAAAAGGAGCACTTAACTGAGTGAGGCAGGCTGCATTTTCCCAATGTTAATTTTTATTTTTCTCAGTTTTTAGGTGGTTTCACTAGCTTCCTATATCCCGGACTGTCATCGGCTTTTCGTAAAGCCATTCTTCCCGTTCACACATCTTTTGGCATCGGATGTTTCACACTCGTCATTGTAACAGCAATGACCGGACTCACCGAGAAAGTTTTGTGGACTCTCACTGACAGCTACTCCAAGTATCCTTCAGAAGGTATCATAATAAACATCATTGGTGCTTTCACTGTTTTTTATGGTATAATGGTGTTATATCTAGTTAATGACCAGGATTACAAAAGAATCGCATTGCCTGAAGATGAGATTGTACTCTCAACAACTGATTACGAATAGAATATATAACTTATACCTATATAGATTGGTTAAAATCTATATGTATATCATGATAAACCTACCTATTACAATGTAACTAGTTCTAATCAATGTTTATCCGTAATCTGTGGTATAACATATTAAGAGACATACGCAGATACCTACCTCTGTATGGCAAATATCATCTAGATATGTGATAAGAAACCTAGTATACAGGGTGGTCCACTTTCTATAGTAGCAAAATATCGACAATTGATAGAAGACCCTATTTTGAGGAGACACATTTTCATGAACGGATGAATCGAATTCGATTACAAATTTTGGTGTAGGTGTCAGGTGTCGAATATATTTCATTCAAAACAACTGCTCCGATTGCTGGATATTCAAAACTGATATAATTTTGGACTGTTGGCACCATTTTAGTCACATAACAGACTAAGTTTTGCCATAAAAATAACTCATACAAGACGATTATAAAAATAATTGTGAGTTTATTCTCAATAAAAACGCTCTATATTTCGAAAAGCTTCTTTCGACTTATATCAATAGGAACTCGTATTCTTCAAATAAGATAAATCGATTGTCAAAGTCTTGCTACTATAAAGTGGACCACCCTGTGTAGAAGACTATCAGACTTATTAGATAGGAATGTGGAAAATCTCGTTATCACTTTAGAAGATGCGAAATTACACTGTGTTCAAGACAGGTTGGACCGGTATGGAAATGTCGGAAATTAACAGTTGTACATTTAGTTCATAATATCCATTGCCGAAGAACTGCTTGAACTTTTCGCAGAAATGATAATATTATTTCGGTGGCATAATAAGTAGTCATTAGGGTCCCTTGATGTAAATTGACGTATTTTTCATCTTAACTGGGTACGGACAGATCATAACTCATTGTAACTTTAGTTTTGTGTATTGGCGTCCCTGAGTACCTGACATGTCATAACTGTCACATTCATAGGCGTTAAAAGAAATCTTACAAAATTTCAATTAGTACTTAATCTTGATACATTATTCAATTTTGTTGCAAGGATGGTAAAATGTGCTGCGTTAGGCTTTATCAATAAGTTGGATAGCAAATTTGAATTTTTCAGCTTTCCAACAAATGCAAATGAACTTAGAACATGGAAAGTGAAGAGACCGAATTGGGAAAATCGGTAAATACATCAGCAAATTATGAGAGGTAAAACTTAATACGAAATCATAAATTATACTTTCTGATTGCGCCTAATTATCCACTCCACAAGTTTGTTAATGCATTTTAGTAGATGCAGTTTTGATTAAAACGGAAGATTAAAAGAAGAGGCATATGCCCTACCATTTGAAAATGTATACCTACATTCAGAAAATATCAAGTGTTCGTAAAAAACTGCAAAAATGATACCGAACATAAATATATAAATATACAGCACACATGACATATGAGCACATTATTAGTTCAAATACATACATCAAAGTTCTCACCATTTGTCAACCATAAGGCATTGTCTCATGTCTGAAATCAAAATTAATTTATATGTACATACATACATAGGTACAGCCTAAGAACAGTCCCATTAGGTAAATCATATTGAACTTTCAGAAAAATGTATGCTCACTGTCTCACAAAGATTATGCTGGAGTTGAAAATTCAAAACCTCAAAAATTATTGATCATCATTTGGATATAATATGTAGAGTTGAATCAGGAAATCCTTGTGGAAATTACGTATGATGCGCCAATGTCCTCAATATAACCTGAAAAACAACAAATATCAGAAATTTAGTGTGCATCTCCAGAATTTAATAAGGATGGAACTATATAACTGTTTCACACAAACACTTAGGACTGAGAGGAGACGAATATCTATCCGTACCCTGTTAAGATGACAAATACGTTAGTTTGCATCAAGTATTCATTATGAAAAAAATTCTCAGGAATTGACTAATTTGGCTACACAGATCAGTATCTAATGAAGTTCAATAACGAAACTGACAATACTAATTTTATTGCCACTTGTACCAATGACAACGCCGGACATTCGAATACAAATTTGCCTTTGGTGGGAGGTTTCCAATCTGGTCGTTTGGTGATCTGTGGTGTAGACATTGAGGACCGATTGGAATCAACTCTCCCAACTCACCAGCTCGAGCACACTGATATATACAAATTAAATATTCAGTCGTCTATCAAAACCGTTATGCAACCGGCCCTAAGACGTCCTATAGTTATCATTTTTTACACATGGCCATCAGCGTGATTTTGGTCTCAATTTTTGAAAATATTTGATGTAATTGGCGAACTGTTTTCGCAAAACCTTCACCATTTTTGTAATGTGTTTTTGCATTAACGAAACGTTGTTCACTTGAATATTTACATATTCTCAAATCACGTGGTATGTACGTGACAACTGTAAAAAAATCATCGTACACCTCTCTTATTAACGAAATGGTGGCAAATTTCAATCCGGCGCTCATTTTGGGACGCCCTTTATATTTTATTATTGAAAGTCCATATTGGAGTGGAGCACATAATTCCTGATATCGAGATAACCGGTTCACATATACAGAGTTCCCGGAAGGGTCATGTCGTAAATGATATACGGCTGATGGAGTAAGCCAAAATGATGTCAGTACTTCATATAAAAAATTTCTATCGTACTTCGTTCCGGAGTTATTGACTTTCCTAGTTTGAATAAAAAATATATATTTCATATGTAACTTTTGAACGATTGCATTGGTATCAATGATATTCAGGTAACTAAATCAACTCATGATAATGCCCCTTCAGATATTATGTAGACGGCTGTTCAGTGATTATGTTTGATGCATGAATACTATATTTAGGAGTAAAATAGACCGATCAAAATTACAAGAAGGCGACTGGACGCCATCTCGGAAAAAAATTGAATGGTGTAGGAGGACAATATCTTGGTTAATTTATAAACTTATTAATTACTTAGTTTTATTGAAAACCACATAAAGGAATAACATACATAATAAATCGGGATGGCGCAGGCTCTCTACCCTCCTTCTCCCTAACTACTTATCCCGCCAACTGCCACATGTCTTGTCCATGTCATTTGTCACGTCTCTCTTCTTCTCAATTTATTTGCAGGCAGGCTATACGGCCTATAACACTAAACTGTACACACTAAACACTAGTTCGGCAATCCTGACAGAGAATCGTCCCGATTCTCACACAAACATTTCGAGCATAATACATAAAGTACATAAATCATAAGTGGAATACATAATCATTAAGTGAACCATAAAGTGCAAATGCACAAACATCATAAGACATAAGATCATAATCATAAAAATGTAAGCATTACAAAAAGGACATGAATTCAGTCATGTTTACTGTGTTCAGGTTAGTTATTTTCTAAATAAATTCGAAGAGAATCATCAACTGACCCGGTTGAAGTGATTTCAAATGACAGTTTGCTTGGGCTTCCTCCCGTTGACCAGCATATAGTGTTAATCATAGCAAATTCAACTTTACTAAGATTTTTCTGGTCTTTCACATACTTTGGAAAGCATAGGCGTCAAGTCCCTATTGGACCTTCCAATTTGTCCATTAGCACGGGAAGTGGCGGTTGCAATAAGTACATGTTCAATATTCTCATTTTCTAAAAATCGATTGAATCATGAGAATGATAGCACGATCCTCGATCAGATATAATTTGTTTCGATCTACTGTAAGCCATAAAATATTCAGACAAATGCTTGATAATTTCAGTTGCATTTGTTGTTTTACATGGATAAAACCGCAGCAACTTAGTAAAAGAGTCAATAATCTCAAATATGTATTTGTATCCTCTACTGGTCTTCTCCAAAGGACCAAAGTGAGAGAATCTCCATTAGGTATACCTCATAATAAACCTTCTTTTTTACCCAATATTGGTGAAAATTCTAAACATTTTAGACAATTAGAAATACACTACTCAACCAAAAGTGTAATGTTTGATAACCAATAGACTTTTTTAATGTTTTCTCAAACTTTCTGAATACCTACATGCCCTATGTCATCATGAAAAGTGCGTGAAACATTATTTTTATCATGCAGTCGGGAACATAAAATAGTAGTTTTTTTATTTTCTTCCTTGTAAACTAACCCGTCTTTAATTTCGAAAAACTTATTTTCTTCTTTTTCTAATCTATCACGAATTTCTAAAATCTTTGCATCTTTGTCTTGTTTTATACTCAGCACTCTTTCAAAAGTATTGCCTTCAACTATCATTATACAATGACACCTACTTAGGGCATCTACATGTCCCATTCTTTTATTAGTCATATGTTCAATAGTGTAATCATAATTTTGAAGAAACATTGCCCAGCGCGATATACCCGGAATAACTGTCTGTTTGCTGAGGGTAAAGCGAAAACTATCGCCAAGGTATCTAACTCGAAACTGTGGCAACGAGATTCTGCAGGAGAAATTCTATGGCTGTAATAAGAAACTGGTTTATATAAACCATCTTTTTTCTGTTGAAGTGAAATTGCGACAAAACCATGGCTACTCAACTTCAAGGGATAATTCAGGATTAACATCAAGTTTATCTAAAGTATTTTCAGGTTCACTGACGTCGATATTCATAAGTTGAGAAATAAAACATACATTAGTATAAGCAAAATCCACTCTGGGTTCAGGATCAATATCAAGATCATCTCTCTGTGTGATTTCTACAGTTTCATGAAAACTAACAACCAAGTTAGGATTAAATATAAAATCTCGCCCTAGAATCGCAAAAAATTTCATGGTATAATCTGGCACAACATACAATTTAATGTTTACTGAAACATCATTAAAGGTATCACCTTCATGAAAAATACCTATTATCTCCAATGGTGAACCATTTAATCCACTAAAAGTAATTTTATCAAGATTTGGCATAATT